AAAGTATGAAAAAATTCTTCAAATGTTTCAATTAATTTTTAGGTTGGGCAATGAAATCTATTCTTGGGGAGACATGCAAAAAGAACTTGAACCAGTGAAAGAATTATTTATCAGGCCAATTCCAGCAGAAGTAATTGATATTCAACCACATTTTTCGGTGTGGTATGATTGGGCACGGATCCAGTGTGGGGTCCAGAGCCTGTCACATCGAAATGATAAGAACAACGATAATGAAATTATACAACAACATCATCAACAATCATCATGTCATTGTCATCCACCATCACCATACAAAATTAATGAACTTTGGTCTCTTCAAAATGCATTTATGTATGGATGTAAATTATTTATCGACAAATCATGCAGATTAAGTCATTGGTCATTAAGTTTATCATCAAGTCATTCATCATTATCACATGTTGAACGAATGAAGATGATCCATTATGCTACACATGATGTTATGGCTGTTACATTTTTAATACGACCAATCACTGAAAATTGGACTTTTGAAAAAATTAAAAATAGGAAGATCGGTGAAATATTTGTCGCATTTAATTCGACTAAACTTCCACCATTACCAACATCAAAAAATAAAAAAAATAAAAAAATTAAGAACATCAACATGCAAAAATTCGCTACATTATTTAGGTGTAATGATTCAGCAGCAGAACAAATTTCGTCGGATGATGAGATATATTTGAATCAATTAATTGAACCAAATGATTTTAAAAATGAACAAAATAATAATAATAATAATAATGATGATGATGAAATTAATTTATTACAAGATCAAATTGAACCAATTGATGTTGATTATACACCAGTCATCAATGATGATGAACCAACTGAACCAACACAACAACGAGAACCTGAACCAACTGAACAAGAATTAAATGATATTGAATTAATTATTAATGCTGAAAATCAACTTGAAAAACATCATGATAATGAAGGAATTAAACCAAATGAAGGTCTTGAGAAAAATCCACCAAAAAGGAAAAATAAACCACATCGTCATCGTGAACGTTCACAAGCAGCAAGAAAACGAAAAAACAAAAAAAGAACTAAGAAACTTCGTCTACATCGTTATCGATATTGTGTTACTCAACCATTATATTTTAAATATCCAATGGCATTGGTGAGAATGGTATTAGATGAATACAATATCGATTATGTACACGTTAAGAGACAAGAAGGATGTTTAGTAGTTGGTCTGAAGAACAAGTTAATCAAGAAACAATATGAACGACAAATACCAGAAGATTTATTTGATGGAAGAAATTATCAACGTCATTATCGACGACAACGACGAACAAGATAAATTAAAAACATTTTTTTTTTTTGTTAATTCTTTTCTCCTATCTTCTCTTCCCGTGTGACATCTCTTGTTATTGTTATATTTTTCTTTTTTTTTCGATGTGATATGTTCTGGTATGATCTGATACAGTTATATTTTCTTTAAGTTTTTTTTTCCTTTCTTTTCTGCTGTTGTTTATTTCCTTTTTTGAAACAGTAAAAAAGTTTTTGGTGAACAAAAAACTTTTTTCTCCAGTGGATAAGGGTGTTATATCCTGCCATCTATATTTTATATTTCCATATTTCTTTCGCGTGCATACTATGGGCTATTTAATTTCAGTCTGAATTCATCAAATAAAAATAATACTTGATTTCAAACTGAAACGTGAGTCTAGGAGTGAGGGGGGGGGAGTGACTGAGGGTGTGGGTGTTGGTCTGGGACCCACACACACACCCACACCCATGGTGCGGGTGTGGGCGCGCGAGTGAGGGTGAGGGTGTGCTTGTGGCTTTGTGTACTATAGGCTTTAGTCCCCTGCACAAGGGACTAAGCGGGGACTAAGCTTTTTGTGGGGGGGACTAAGGGGGACTTTGCAGGACTAGGGGGGACTAAGGGTTTTTAGTGAGACTACGTAGTATCAAACGAGAAAAGTTTGATTCGGAAGAAATTGGTGCGGTTTTTTTGATTTTAGAATTCAGTTTGAAATAAAAAAGCCCATAGACTCTTCGCGTGTGTGATTGTTTCTTTTTCTTTTATTAATCTTGTGGTTAAAGGTGATAGAAAAATAAACTAGTTAGTTATGCTTCAACAAAATGAACTCGAACGTCCTTAAAATTAAATGCAAAATAAAGGCATAACAGATTCAATTAGCAAAGTATATTTTTTATACGACCATGTGGTGATGTTGATCAATCGTTTTTGAAATGTCGAATATGCCACTATCTTGTTGCAAGCTTTTGTCTCTCCCTCTTCTAAAAACTCTATCA